AATCCTCCCAAAAATCCCAATAAAAATCCAAAAAAATAAAAAAAAAGAAAATAAATCCTAATAAATCCCAAAAAATCATCAAAAATCCCCCTTAAAAATCCCGACCACCCAAACCCCAAATCCTCACCAAAAATTGTTCCCAAAAATCCCCAAATCCCCAAAATTTCCCCAAATTTCCCCAAATCCCTCCCCCCGCGCCCCTCCCCCACCTGCAGGCTGCACTCGCGGCCCTGCAGCGCCTTCACCGTCAGCAGCATCGCGCCCGAATCAGCTCCGGCACCCCAAAATCCGCTCGGGGACCCCAAAATCCGCCCGGCGACCGCGAGGAATTTTAGGGGACCCCAAAAAAACCCAAAAATCCCCAAAAAAGCCCCAAAAATTGGAGTTAAAACAGCGGGACTTCCGGGAGCAGCGAGTTGGGAGGACCCGGGGGTAGAGCGGCCACCGGAAGTGCCATAGAGAGGCGGGAACGACCCCAAAAACCCCTCGGGACCGCAGACAAATCCCTTCAGGGTCCCCAAAAACCTCTCAGGGACCCCAAAAACTCCTCAGGGACCCCAAAAATCCCCAAAATCCCCCCAAAAATTCCCCCAAATCCCCCCAAAAGCAGCAGGACTTCCGGGAGCAGCGAGTTGGGAGGACCCGGGGGTAGAGCGGCCACCGGAAGTGCCATAGAGAGGCGGGAACAACCCCAAAAACCCCCCCGTGCCGCAGAAAAATCCCCAAAATTTCCCCAAATTTCCCCAAATCCCTCCCCCCGCGCCCCTCCCCCACCTGCAGGCTGCACTCGCGGCCCTGCAGCGCCTTCACCGTCAGCAGCATCGCGCCCGAATCAGCTCCGGCACCCCAAAATCCGCTCGGGGACCCCAAAATCCGCCCGGCGACCGCGAGGAATTTTAGGGGACCCCAAAAAAACCCCAAAAATCCCCAAAAAAATCCCAAAAAACTGGAGTGAAAACAGCGGGACTTCCGGGAGCAGCGAGTTGGGAGGACCCGGGGGTAGAGCGGCCACCGGAAGTGCCATAGAGAGGAGGGAACGACCCCAAAAATCCCCTCGGGACCACAGAAAAATCCCTTCAGGGTCCCCAAAATCCTCTCAGGGACCCCCAAAAAATCCCAAACCCCCCCTAAAAGTCCCCAAAATCCCCCCAAAAACGGCGGGAGCGGCGGGAGCAGCGAGTTGGGAGGACCCGGGGATAGAGCGGCTCCCGGAAGTGCCATAGAGAGGAGGGAACGACCCCTAAACCGCCTCAGGGCTTCCCAAAAATCCCCTCAGGACCTCAAAAATTCACTCGGAGACCCCAAAAACTCCTCTGGGACCCCTAAAAAAATCCCAAAAATGCCCAAAATTCCCCCAAAAGCAGCGGGACTACCGGGAGCAGCGAGTTGGGAGGACCCGGGGATAGAGCGGCTCCCGGAAGTACCAACGAGATGATGAGGAGCGGCACCGGAAGTAACATATACATGACGGGAGAGTGGCGGAAAAATCCCAAAACCCTCTCGGGATCCCCCAAAACCTTTCAGAGACCCCAAAAGTGAACTCGGAGATCCCAAAAACCCCTAAAAAGACCAAAAGCGTCCCAAAATTAGCGGGAATCCCGAGAGCAGCGAGTTGGGAGGACTCAGGGCCAGAGCGGCTCCCGGAAGTACCAACGAGACCGGGGCAAAACGGCGGGAAAACACCGGAAGTGGGCGGGGCAGAGCGAAGCAAGATGGCGGCGCCCACGGAGATGCTGCAGCTGTATCCTGGGAGCGTGGCGGGAATTCGGGAATTTGGGAATTTTGGGAATTTTGGGAATTCTCGGGAGGAATTTTGGGAATTCTGGGAGTTATACTGGTTATACTGGTTTGTACTGGTTATACTGGTTATACTGGTTATACTAGGATGGGAGTGTGAGCGTTTATACTGGTTATACTGGTTATACTGGTTTGTACTGGTTTGTACTGGTTATACTGGGATGGGAGACCCTGACGGTGTGAGGGTTATACTGGTTATACTGGTTTGTACTGGTTATACTGGTTATACTGGTTATACTAGGATGGGAGACCCTGACGGTGTGAGCGTTATACTGGTTATACTGGTTTGTACTGGTTATACTGGGAGATACTGGGAGATACTGGTTATACTGGGAGATACTGGTTTATACTGGTTATACTGGGTTATACTGGTTATACTGGGATGGGAGACCCTGACGGTGTGAGAGACTGAACTGGGATAGACTGGGATAGACTGGGAATGGGGCTGGGGGAACTGGGACAAACTGGAGGGACTGGGAGGGAAACTGGGCAAACTGGGAGGGACTGGGATCAAACTGGGAGCACTGGGAATGGGCTGGGATGAACTGGGAGGGGCTGGGAGGGGATTGGGAATGGAACTGAGAGCACTGGGAAGGACTGGGAGTGATACTGGGAGCACTGGGATGAACTGGGAGCACTGGGAGGGACTGGGAATGGGGCTGGGATAAACTGGGAGGGACTGGGATCAGACTGGGAGCACTGGGAGTGAAACTGGGCAAACTGGGAGGGACTGGGATCAAACTGGGAGCACTGGGAGGGGTTTGGGAGTGATACTGGGAACACTGGGATGAACTGGGAGGGACTGGGATCAGACTGGGAGCACTGGGAGTGAAACTGGGCAAACTGGGAGGGACTGGGGGGAACTGGGACCAAACTGGGAACTGGCACTGGGAGCACTGGGAGGGGACTGGAGCCATACTGGGATGAACTGGAGCCATACTGGGATGAACTGGGAGCACTGGGAGGGCCATTTGGGGGCGGGGCCAATGCGGGAGGGGGCGTGGCTCAGCCTGGCCCCACCCCTCTCCCTGCTCAGCCAATGGGAAGCCCTGGGCGTGTTGGGGGCGGGGCCAATGGGAGGGGCGGAGTCAGTGATGGATGGGGGAGGAGTCAGTGAGAAAGGGGTGTGGCTTTGGCCCCGCCCCTCTCCCATATCAGCCAATGGGAGGCCGTGGGGATTGTGGGGGCGGGGCCAATGTGGGGGAGGAGTCACGGCTGGAGGGGGCGTGGCTGTGTCTGACCCCGCCCCTTCATCTCAGCCAATGGGGAGGTGCCGAAGCAGAAGGGGGCGGGGTTTCTCTCACAGAGGGCGTGTCTGTCTGTGACCCCGCCCCCTCTTTCCCTGCAGCCAATGGGAGTCCCTGGGGGTGATGGGGGGCGGGGTTTCTCCCTCAGGGGGCGTGTCTCTCTCTGACCCCGCCCCCTCTTTCCTCAGCCAATGGGAGGCCATGTGGGCATTGGGGGCGGGGTTACTGTGGGGTTGTGTGACCCCGCCCCTTTTCTCTGCCCAGCCAATGGGAGGTGCCAGAGGCAGTGGGGGGCGGGGTTTCTCCCTCGGGGGCGTGTCTCTCTCTGACCCCGCCCCCTCTTTCCTCAGCCAATGGGAGGCCATGTGGGCATTGGGGGCGGGGTTACTGTGGGGTTGTGTGACCCCGCCCCTTTTCTCTGCCCAGCCAATGGGAGGCCCCGGGGGCGGTGGGGGGAGGGGTTAGTGATGAAGGGGGCGTGTCTCTCTCTGACCCCGCCCCCTCTCTCCCCAGCCAATGGGAGGTGCCAGAGGCAGTGAGGGGCGGGGTTTCTCCCTCGGGGGGCGTGTCTCTCTCTGACCCCGCCCCTCTCTCCGCAGCCAATGGGAGGCGCCGCTGGCCCGGGCGCTGAGGGGCGGGGCCTCGTCCTTCCTGGAGCTGCTGGGATTGGTGCTGGAGACCATCGAGAGCTTCGGCCCCGCCCTTTTGGTGATTTTTGGGGGGATTTTGGGGAATTTTTGGCATTTTTCTGGTTTTGGGGCTGATTTTGGGGGAATTTGGGGAACTTCAGGGGGGGTTGGGGAACTTTGGGATTATTTTGGGGCAATTCTGAGGGATTTGGGGATTTTGGGGGGATTTTGGGGATTTGGAATTATTTTGGGGGATTTTGGGACCATTTGGAGGTTTCGGGGAACATTTTGGGTGATTTTGGGATATTTTGGGCCACGTTTTGGGGACATTTTAAGGGGATTTCAAGGATATTTTTAGGATATTTTTAGGGATATTTTTAGGATATTTTAAAGATATTTTTAGGATATTTTAAGGATATTTTTGTGGATATTTTGGGGTGATTTTGGGGTGATTTGGGGCAGTTTTGGGGCCTCCACCCTGTGCTTGTCCCAGCGCTTCTCGGGGTTTCAGGGGACATTTCGGGGGAGATTTTTAAAATATTTTTAGGATATTTTTGGGATATTTTTAGGATATTTTTGGGATATTTTTAGGATATTTTTGGGATATTTTTGGGATATTTTTAGGATATTTTTGGGATATTTTTAGGATATTTTCAAGATATTTTTAGGATTTTTTAAGATATTTTTAGTATATTTTTAGTATATTTTTAGGATATTTCTGGGATATTTCGGGGATATTTTGGGGGTGATTTTGGGGTGATTTGGGGCGGTTTTGGGGCAGTTTTGGGCCCCCCACCGTGTGCTTGTCCCAGCGCTTCTCGGGGTCTCAGGGTATGTTTTGGGGGACATTTTTTGGGATATTTTTGGGATATTTCAGGGATATTTTTAGGATATTTCAGGGATATTTTGGGGATATTTTGGGGGTGATTTTGGGGTGATTTCAGGGATATTTGGCCCCGCACCGTGTACTTGTCCCAGCGCTTCTCGGGGTCTCGGGACATTTTTAAGGATATTTTAAGGATATTTCAGGGATATTTTAGGGATATTTTGGGGTGATTTGGGGCGGTTTTGGGGCGGTGTTGGGCCCCGCACCGTGTACTTGTCCCAGCGCTTCTCGGGGTCTCGGGACATTTTTAAGGATATTTTTAGGATATTTCAGGGATATTTTTGGGATATTTTGGGGAGATTTTGGGGGTGATTTGGGGCGGTTTTGGGGCGGTGTTGGGCCCCGCACCGTGTACTTGTCCCAGCGCTTCTCGGGGTCTCAGGGGACATTTTGGGGGACATTTTTTGGGATATTTTTAGGATATTTCAGGGATATTTTTGGGATAATTTAAGGATATTTTTGGGATATTTTAAGGATATTTTGGGGGCGATTTTGGGGTGATTTTGGCCGGTTTTGGGCTCCCCACCGTGTACTTGTCCCAGCGCTTCTCGGGGTCGAAGGGCTCCCAGCGGCTGGCCGGGAAGATGTGTTTGTTCTTCTCGTACCACGAGCGCAGCACCACCTTCCCCGCGTGCGACTGCCGCGCCACCGCGACGTCATCGAAAAGGGGTGACGTCATCGGGAAAGGGGTGACGTCATCATCAAACGGGTGACGTCATCGGAAAAGGGGTGACGTCATCATCAAACAGGGGTGACGTCATCGTCAGACGGGGGTGACGTCATCGGAAAAGGGGTGACGTCATCGTCAGGGACGGGGTGACGTCATCCAACGGGGGTGACGTCATCAGTCAGGGTAGTGTCATTGGTCAGTGGTGACGTCATCATCAGGGTGACGTCATCAGTCAGGAGAGGTTTAATTGATTGGGGGTGACGTCATTGGTTAGGGGTGACGTCATCAATAGGGGGTGACGTCATTGATTAAGGATGATGTCATCAATTAGGGATGATTTCATTGATTGGGGGTGACGTCATTGGTTAGGGGTGATGTCATCAATTGGGGGGTGTCGTCGATTATTAGGAGTGACGTCATCATTGGCGGTGACGTCATTGATTGAGGATGATGTCATCGATTAGGGATGATTTCATTGATTGGGGGTGACGTCATTGATTAGCGGTGACGTCATCAATGGGGGGTGACGTCATTGATTGTTGGGGTGACGTCATTGATTAAGGATGATGTCATCAATTAGGGATGATTTCATTGATTTAGGGTGATGTCATTGGTTAGAGGTGATGTCATCAATAGGGGGTTGACGTCGTTGGTTATTAGGAGTGACGTCATCATTGGCGGTGACGTCATTGATTGAGGATGATGTCATCGATTAGGGATGATTTCATTGATTGGGGGTGACGTCATTGATTAGCGGTGATGTCATCAGTGTGGGTGACATCATTGATCATTAGGGGTGATGTCATTAATTGGGGTGACGTCATTGATTAGGGATGATGTCATCGAGTGGGGATTTAGGTCATTGATTGCGGGTGATGTCATCGATTGGGGGTGGTGTCGTTGATTAGGGATGATGTCATCAGGCAGGGTGGTGATGTCATCGATTGCCAATGACGTCATAGATTCGGGGGTGATTCCGTCAGTCAGGGGCGATGTCATTGATCAGTTAAAGGTGACGTCATCGTTGGGGTGACGTCATCAATGGGACGGTGATGTCATCAGTTGGGAGTGATGTCATTGGTAGAGGGTCACATGATTGATTGGGGCGTGACGTCATCCATTCGGGGTGACGTCATCGGTGATGTCATCAACGAGGAGTGCCGTCATCCGCGGGGTGTGACGTCATCGATCAGAGAGTGACGTCATCAATGGAAGAGTGGCGTCATCGGCCGAGGAGTGATGTCATCGGGGAGTGATGTCATAGGGGAGTGACGTCAGCACCCAGCACGGGGTGACGTCATTGCCGAGCGGTGACGTCATCAGCAACGATGACGTCACCAGAGGGAGATGGGGGCTTGTGGGAGGGCAGTGACATCATCAATAAAGGTCTCTACTGGTCCCTACTGGTCCATACTGGTCCGTACTGGTCCGTACCGGTCCATACTGGTCTATACTGGTCCATACTGGTTTCTATACCGGTCTATACTGTTTTGTACTGGTTTCTATACTGGTTTCTATACTGGTCCGTACCGGTCTGTACCGATTTCTATACTGGTCTGTACCGGTCTCTATACCGGCCTATACTGGTCTATACTGGTCCATACTGGTCTCTATACCAGTCTATACTGGTCCGTACCGGTCTCTATACTGGTCCATACTGGTCCGTACCGGTCTCTATACTGGTCCGTACTGGTCTGTACTGGTTTCTGTACCAGTCTCTGTACTGGTCTCTATACCGGTCCATAGTGGTTTACACTGGTCCGTACTGGTCTCTATACTGGTCTCTATCCTGGTCTCCATACTGGTCTCTGTACCGGTCTCTATACTGGTTTATACTGGTCCGTACTGGTCTCTATACTGGTCTCTGTACCAGTCTCTGTACCAGTCTCTATACTGGTCTCTGTACCGGTCTCTATACTGGTCTGTACTGGTCCGTACTGGTTTATACCAGTCTCTATACTGGTTTATACTGGTCCGTACTGGCGCGCCGTACCTCGTCCTTCTCCACGGTGGCGTCGCTCAGCAGCCGGACGTCGTCGTGCACGTCGAAGTTGAACAGCGGCCCTGGGGGGAGGGGCGGGGCCGCGTGACGTCACCGTGACATCACCGCCCCCACCCCCAATGATGATGACGTCACGGGCGGGTCGATGACGTCACGGGCGGGTCGATGACGTCACTCACCGCTCTTGCCGCGCGCCTTGGTGACGATGAAGTCGTAGAAGCTGTGGTGCTGTGGGGGAGGGGCTGTGGGCGGGGCCCTGGGGTGGGGGCGGGGCTCACGTGGGGGATGATCAGATCCTCCTTGATGTACATCAGCTGCTCCACCCCCGCCGAGCTGGGGGGAGACGGGTCAGGGACCCCAGAAACTCCCAAAATAACCCAAAATAACCCCAAATAACCCCAAATAACCCCAAATAACCCAAAACCACCCAAAATCACCCCAAAAATCCCAAGGACCACCCCAAAAATAACCCCGAAAATGACCCCAATACCCCAAAAGCACCAAAACCACCCAAAAATACCCCAAAAACACCCGGAAACCACCCCAAAACCACCCAAAGATACCTCAAAACCACCAAAAAACCCCAAACCACCCCAAAGATCCCAAGGACCAGCCCAAAAATAACCCCAAAAATAAACAAAATACCCCAAAACCACCCAAAAATAACCCCAAAACCCACCAAAAACCACCCCAAAATTTCCCAAAAAACACCCAAAAATAACCCAAAGTAACCCAAAATTGCCAAAAATACCCAAAGCCACCCCAAAAATACCCCAGAAATCCCAAGGACCACCCCAAAAATAACCACAATACCCCCAAAACCACCAAAACCACTCAAAATAACCCAAAACCACCCAAAAATACCCCAAAACCACCTCAAAATGACCCAAAATAACCCGAAACCACCCAAAGATACCTCCAAACCACCAAAAAAACCCAAAACCACCCCAAAAATCCCAAGGACCACCCCAAAAATAACCCCAAAAAACATCAAAATACTCCAAAACCACCCAAAACACCCAAAAATAACCCCAAAAAACACCCCAAAATTATCCAAAAATAACCAAAAAACACCCAAAAATAACCGCAAAAAACACCAAAAAACACCCAAAATTACCCAAAAACCACCCAAAAATAACCCCCAAAACCACCAAAAAACACCCAAAATTACCCAAAAAACACCCAAAAATAACCAAAAATAACCCAAAATTACCAAAAATACCCAAAGCCACCCCAAAAATCCCCAAAATAACCCCAAAATACCCTAAAAACCCCAAAATACCCCAAAAATCCCCAAAACCACCCAAAAATATCCTAAAACCCTCCCAAAATCCCCCCAAACCACTCAAAATACCCCCAAAAATCTCAGCTACCCCAAAATTACCCCAAAACAACCCAAGAATATCTCAAAACCTCCACAAAAATAACCCCAAAAACA